AGACTAAGAAACAGTCCAGCAGTCACCGTGAGGATGATGGCTCCTATACTAGAACTGAAGTAGAGTATGGTCGCCACGGTGATCGCTACGGCCAGGCTGAGTATTCTCAGACACAGCGCCCTGATGGTAGCCAGCAGTCTGAGTACCGTCGTTACGAGCAGCAAGACTCCTCGGACGGCCGTCACGCCGGTGGCTACGGCTATGAGGAGCGAACTGAGACTCACCAGAGTTACTCTGGAGGCTACGAGCAGCGTACTGAGCGACATGAGTACTCAGGCTCGACTGAGAGTCATGGTCGTCGTCATGATAATGATGACGGTGGCTACGGCGGTCGTCGTCACGATGAAGGGGGCTACGGTGGTGGTAGCAGCTACGGCCGACAGGAGGAGAGCAGCTATGGCGGAAACAGTGGTTACGGTCGCCAAGAGAGCAGCTACGGTGGCAACAGTAGCTATGGACGTCAAGAGGAGAGCAGCTACGGCCGCCAAGAGCAAAGTAGCTATGGTGGAGGTTATGGAGGAAGCCATGAACGCCGTGATGAGGGCGGATATGGCGGCGGTGGTGGCTATGAGCGTCGAGAGGAGAGCGGCGGTTACGGTCGCCGTGAGGAGGGTGGATATGGGGGTGACGAGTACGGACGCCGAGACGAAGGTGGCTATGGCGGAGGTTCTGCTGATGAATATCTTCGCCAGAGCCAGGGAGGCCATGGACGTGAGCGCCGTGGCAGCAACGAATATGGCGATAATGGCTATGGTGGTGACCGCCGTTGGTAAAACTGTTGAACAGCACTATGGCTGGGAAAACTATCAGTGAAGGGAGTTCAACATCATACTTATTAGATATCAGAATGTCTGGCTAAATGAAGGAAAAGAAATGAAGGTAACTGCTGAGTTAGTTGCATGTGAAATACATATGTGCATCGTTTCGGCTGTCCCACGAGAGCTTTGTGAAACAACCTTTCTCTACGGATCTTAAGTTCTGTGGTAAAGATACTTATTTGAGGATATCAAAGAGCATCCGAATCCCTTTTCCAGAACACGCCTTGAACCCTCGTACAATGCCTGAGTACACGAAGCCATATGCAAGGCGTACTGAAGTGCGAGTTTGCATCAGGATATTGTAAATGACCGCGCTTGGCCTTCTTCCTCAGACTGTGCATTGCTGATCTGTGCAACATAGACTGGAGATCTCGCTGCAGGCAGTGTCCTATCGTAGTGGTCTCCTCTTTACTACCTGCACAGTATGAGCCTATGCTTGTTGGTTCTCACGTCTGAGTGGCATTGGTTGTCCCCTCCATCACGCTTGTGTTGGCAGTCTCAATGCAGTGAGGACAGAATGTCAGCGTCATGAATCATGACATTGTAACACGTCAGTAAATGTAGTTTTCGTTTAAATGTCCCGATGTTCTCATGCTCGGATCCTAGGTAGTGAGGCACAGACAGATCCTCATGGATGAGACCTTCCTTATCTCTGAGTGAGATCCGACCCTGAAGGTATTGAATCTTTCTGCCTCAGGCTGCAATGATCTGGATACCTTAGGGTCCACTTTTGATTACGTATTACGTCAAGTGGCGTAGCACGAGGAGGCCGGGATCTTCTAACCTCGAACAAGCTCTTACAGGGATGCGACAGGGGGAACTTTGTCTTTGTCCGAATTCCGAAGTTCTGCCTTTTCTCGTAGGAATTCAGTCAGAAGCATGAACTGCCAGTATCTACAGAGTATAGACATACAAACAGTGGATATGGCTGTATGCTTCTTATTTGAGTATGAATTGTTGCATTGAAATTCTTTCACGTTTAATCGTCATTCCTAAACTTGATACCTGTTTACTACGTAGGTGCCGTTTACCGAGATAGATCCAGCCACAAGGACCCTCGAATAAAAGATAGGCATTCAAATTACCTACCTCGGCTTACTCCCAGGATATCGAATGCAGTGTAGTGAGTCGCGCACCCTGAACGTGTATGGTCGTCTCATTATGACTCCAGGGTTCATCAAATGACAAGGTCCTTTAATGAGTGGGCGACAGCGCTTGATTGCCCTACCCGTTTGTCTCTGACGGTTCGACGGGTGTCAGCCAGTCATTGGCGCCCAGAGACATAACCCTCCTTATCCATCGGGGAGTAGGATTTTGAGTACGCTGCGCCTCCCCGTCTCCGCGGAGGAGAAGAGTGACACAAGCAAGGGTTTAAAAGAGAGCGAGGGTAGGGAATGGGCCTGGTCGACAATAACCACGATAACTCGCATCAGCAGTGGGCGGAATTGATTGTCATCGACGGATCAGCAATACTGTATGTATCTACGTACCGCCGTTGATCATTGAGTTTAGGTTGCAGTGGATAACTGAACGTGTCGCGGGAGACAAGCTTTGGTCACAGAAGCTTGGCTGGGTACAAGGTTATGTTAGGTTAGATCCGAACCGTTTTGTCAGGCCACTGAGTTCGAACTTTTATAATAGTATCCGGGATGTGCTCTGAGAGCTTTAACGAGTCATGCAAACTCAGTGACGAACTGCTTTCTATCTCTGGACCGTCTATGGATTGACTGGCATATACTATGTTTGAAACTTGACGTCGCACCAGGCTTCATCAATTGACTATTCAACTGTCACCGTTACAGTTAAGCTCACGGTAACTCCCTTGTATCTTAACTCTGTAAGAACCGCGGTCAGACGTGGGTGATGGTGAAAAACTCTTTCAGCCTGCATGTCTACGGCTTGCGTCCGAGTGATACGGTAAAAATATCCATGTCCTTGGTGGTGAGAGATAAAAAAGGGACATTCAAGGATTACGACTGCGGGTCAAGTATCCCAATGCGCTCAAGTCTTGACCAACAAGCTTTTGGTTTGTGGGGAAGTGGACGGGACAAATCTTGACTGCCTGATCTTATCCTTTTCTATCCTTACCTATTCTAAGATAAGTTGATGTGATTGATGAGGAGATGGAGAGGAGGGAGGGCACAAGCTTTGTTGTACCACTAATGCAGATTGCTCTGTTAGGTTATTCTAGACTGTTTGCTACAGCATCTACTCTCACACTTGTCTGATATCAATAACACCAACTGGAATTTCAAAAACCGAGACATTGGCTTGCTCTAACTCACCTGGACCTGGCCAACTCCGTTATTATTCCCGACTCGGGTTTTTACAGGCATCCATCTGGTCCTAAAGTCCGAGCCAAAATATGAGTTGGGCTGTCTAATTGGCCAACTCTGAAAAGTCACTGAGATTATCAGAGACAGCTACATACCAGATCAAACACGACAATTCTCTTGATTTTAATGTTTCCCAAATGTTCGGGTCGTCAAGAGATAGCCGGCTTGGCAACAGCCTTCGCTTTGACTTCTTTTCCTTCTGCTGCTCTTGTTCCTGCACCTAAAATAGAGCTAGCTCAACGTAGCTGTAGCTGTTCCTGTAGCTCTCTTTGGATTTGGTCGATTTGTATCGTGGCCCCCGACACTTTTCGCACCTTGGAGTTGGGTCTCGAATCGGACTTTTATGTACGTGCCTGGACCGACTCGTCATTTCTGCCGAATCACATCGTCTCACTTTGGTATCATTATCTTGTCATAGAGTCCTGAGTCTGTCAATTAGTTAATTCCTCTGGATTCTTTTGCTCTCGAAGTGTTAGTTGATTCATATCTCTTCGAATAAGAGTCCCTACATAAAATTATCTTATACTCTCACACCCTTGTTCCATCGTCACACTCCGAAAACCGAAACGCGCCACCAACGAAACTGCCCAAATTCACTCGATCGCTCAATCACTCTCTCCACCCCCAACCCTGCCTGCCCTGCCATTCATCGAATCCAGTTTCCCAGTTCAGGACTCCCCTCTCTTTTCGCGGCTCAGCAGGAGGCAGGAGGCAGGACAGGACAGGACAGGACAGGACAGGACAGGACAGGACAGGGCAGCCCAGGCAGGTAGGTTCACTGCACTTCAGTTCGTCACCCCCCCAAAAACACTCACTCGCGCTTTCTCCCTTTCGTATTGCCTCTCCTTCCCCTTCTCCACCAGCCCGGCCATCCACATCCGCTCCCTCCCGTGCCTGCCTGCCTGCTTCTTGCTTCTTTTCTCTGGCTTGTCCTTCGTTCTTCCTCACCCTCCGCGGCGGCAGCCACAATCATCGTCCGGCCCATTTCCACCCTCCGTCCTGGTTTCCCAAACCCAAGCAAGTCCAGGTCAAATCAAGTCCACCTTACCTACCTACTCTCGCTTGATTCTCTCGCTCTTTCTCTCCCCCCAAGAACGCCAACTTGTTTGCTCTTACTTTTTTACTCATTCTCATACTCAGTTCACGTCTCTTTTAATTCCATCTTTCACCTGACTCTTCCAAACGTCACTTCGTCCTCACAAACTTGCTTTCGCCAGATCATTCAACATCGAATTCTCACTGTCACCCCGGGCTGTCATTTGAATTTTTGCGCCTTTGGTGCACGCCATATAATGCCTACGATTCCATGATTGAATATGTTTTAGAAGCATGTGTAAGTTATATCACTCCCTGTTCAACCAACCTTTGTTATAACCTCTTATTTCCTCTCTCCGTCTCGTCTTACACTACATGGCGATTGATTGATTCATTCATTGATCCTACCCGTCTTCCCCGAAGGGCGTCTGTCCCTTTCCGTTCCGTTCCTGCTCATCCGCGCCCGCGGGTTCGAGGCCAAGAACCTCGCATCATACCCCAGTCTTGGCATCCCACGAACTGACATCAAATCGTCCAGCGCTCACCGAGATACGAAATGTCGTGTATGTCCTTGCTCCATCCATTATGTCTTTTTACCTGCAACGTCGTTGTATTATCGTGGCCGTTCTTCTCATCATCGTCGCTGGCGTGACATAACAACTACGCCGCCCTCGACTCCCCGCTTGCACCAACTCAGCAAACCACACGACATCGACTATAACTTCGGATCAGACGACGTCACTCGCCTTGCTTGATTAAACCTGTGAACATTGCTGACCAATTCTATCAGCCTCCTATTCAGCAATCCAGTATGGAGTGGCGCCAGTACGGTCCCGTCGACAATCATCCGAAACCTCACGGCTCTTTCGGTGCGTTGATTCACTTGACATTTATCATTCCTTTGCAACGATGCCACTGGAAGACTCGTCTGGCATGAACTAACCACACAAACAGTCCGACATAGCATATAAAGAGCGAATTTCCACCAACATTACCACCTTAACCGCCACAAATGCCGACTCGTCTAATGGCCTTATCACCGGCCTTCTCTACGTCCCCGACCTCGACAACGATCGTGAGTGCGACCAGCAGCAATACCAGTTTATTCCTCGAAATGTCACCCGCCGAGATAATCTCCCTCCTACCAATTACAATCTCATCGCTCTTGCGCCGTGGTTTAGCATCGACTGTACCCTAGCCTACCTTGCTTCTGCCCGTCTCGACCCCATTCGCGCCTTCATCTTTTACAAACCTAACAACTCGTCAAATCAACCTCAAGATGCAGACTCGCCTGTTTGGAATCTGGAAGACGGTGGAGCCTGGATGACCGTCAACAAATACCCGATTTACGCCATTTCTGGTCAAGAAGGCCAGAATATGATGCGGCAACTCAGTTACTATTCAGGCAGCGTGGACGACATACCTTATGGCGAAAATATCAGCACACTCTATGGCCCGAACCCGAAGGATTATGTCCGCATCTGGACCGAACTCAGCGTTCAGGATGAATCTGATATTCCACCGCTATGGGCGTTCTTCCTCATAGTAATTGGTGCCTTGCTTGCCATATTTGCATTCGTCTCGATAACCATGCATCTTGTTCAACGAAGACGACGTATATCACTTCGAAAAAGAGTTGAATCTGGCGAAGTCGATCTCGAAGCCATGGGAATAAAACGCTTGACAATACCTGCCACTCATATCACCAGCTTCCCTCTATTTACTTACAATGCGGATCCGGACTCGACAGCACCTCCTCCTACCCCATCATCTACACGACGCATGCGAAGTAGCCGAGGACTCGATCAGCGCAGCGTACGATCCGGTGCCAGTGTGCGGAGCAAAAGATCCAACATCGGAGCCTCGGGCGATAATGCTGCTACTAATTTCCAGCCTAGTTGTCACATCTGCCTCACCAATTTCGAGCACCGAGTCACCATCATTCGGGAGCTTTCTTGCGGTCATATATTCCATCCCGAATGTATCGACGAGTTTCTGTCAAAGAACAGTTCTCTCTGTCCTATGTGCAAGCATTCGATGCTGCCCAGAGGTTACAGTCCAAGGATCACTAACGGGATGGTGCGTCGAGAACGAGCTTTGAGGAAATTACGTCAAAGAGTCGATCTCGAGGATTTATCTGAGGAAGGTGATAACACGAAGATGAAGGACTGGAGTAAACGACTTTTCCGAACTTCACCTTCACCTTCACGACCTTCCTCGTCGCCACTCGTGAACTTGAAGCTACCCAACTTCAGACGACAGCCTGCTACAAATACAGCAACAAATGGGGAAGAACGAGTAGAAACGCCACCAGCATCGTCTACCCCCGCACAATCCCAAGAACTAGAAGCAAACACTCGCCCACCAGCTCCAGCCCAGATACCCAAGACAAGGAGGCCTAGACCTCGACTTTTGAATATGCTCCCAACACAGCCAGAGAATTCCGAGTTGAACACAGATCCAACGCCAAGACGTGGAAGTCCTTCCTCGTTTGCTCGACAACGCATGCGTGAAATTGCAGCCAACAACGCGCCTATCGACGATCCTGACTCCCAAAGGGCGATATGTGAGTCGTTAATATAAGAGGACGTAAAAGCATACACTAACATGCTCACAGGGCTACGAGCACTCTCAAAAGTTTTCCCGGGCTATTTTTAATTCTACCTTGATAAATATCATGGTCAGAACACATCTCTTGCATTTGATGGGGCAGCATAGGTCAGGCGTTTATGTCATGGGCAGGGTTTTGGGATCCAGGCCGATCTAGTACGGCCATGGATTATACGACTTTTTTCGGGTACACTGGTGCATTGGAAAGGCATTTAATGAGGCGTTGGTTGGATTTACGAGAATTGTATATACAGGGGCTCGTTGAGAGGATAGGAGGTGCAGAGTAGTGGGCTAGCAATGGCATCCCATCTACTAATTATGTGTTGTCCTGAATATGTATGAACAAAGCATATACCTAAACAATATACAATCACGATACGTAACGAAATGAGCAGCACTATCAAATGTCCAAGATTTTTATATTTTCAATCAAGCTATCATGTATTTCCAAGAACTAGCTATTCGCTTGCATGCACCAACATATCTGAGGGGTCAACCCGTTCATGTTTCTCGCTCTAGGTACGCTCCAAACGCCAAACATACTCCAAGTCCAATAATCCAAATTCCTAGTTTCTGGTTTCTGATCATAATGAATTGCTCAATTCCCTTCACGCTTTCCTTTACCCTCCAGCAACGGCTCATTACGGACGCCGCCTCTAGCAAGTGCGTCTCGAACGCGATCATTCTCGGCAGCACGAATTCTGCTTCTCGCATCCTCCAGACGTTCGACGCCTCGATCAATGGTCTCAATATGCACGCTCAGAGGGATTGGAGGTCCACTACCAATACCATTGCGGAGCACCTCTGGCTCAGCAACACGGTCACGCAAGTCACCCAGACCAGCTTGAATGCTCTCGAGTTCGAGAATAAGCGCGTTGACCTGTGCAACTGCTGAAGAGCGCTGTGCGTCAACCTGACGCAGGAGAGCTAGCTGGCGGGAAAGGCTGTTGAGTTGGTTCGAGTTTGCACCGACAAGCGTCCATATATTCCAGAGAACATTTTCACGACGAGATGCTGTATCGGCAGAGGAGCGAGAACTGATGTCGTAGATGAGCATCAGATGATCCTCGGCTTTTGTGAGTAGGCGCAGAACGGCCTGCGCTTCAAGGATAAGGGTCGCGATACGATCCGAGACAAGAGCTGTGTGTTCAATATACTTGTCTAGGAGAACTCGCTCGTTAAAAATGTGATCTGTAGTTGGCTGGAACGGGTGAAAGAGCCACGACGCCAAGCCAAGAATAGGCGAAGGTGAGGAAATCGACTTCCCGTCGTCTGTTTCTGGGGATAAAGTATCGAGATAACGAGATGTCCAGCGATTGATGCTTATGACAGCATCGACGGCAGACCCAACATGGGTATTGAACTTCTGTAAGTCCGAAGACGTCTGCCTCGCCGTGTCGATGTAGCCATCAAACTCAAACAGCAACTCATCACGAGCTTGTAGATCGCTGTGTCGCACAAGGCTGCGTAAATCTCGGATGGCCGTTTCGGATCTTTTCATCTCGAATGGGAGGGAGACTCCATCAGAGCTCTTTTCAAGAACTTGCTCGAACTTTGACTGTACATTCATGAGATCATCGAACTCAACGGGTGATCCATCGCCTCCGGCAGGTACTATCGTATCCAGAGAAGGACAGAACGGAAGATTCAGGAGCGATGCGCCCGGGATACGGCAAATAGGAGATAGAGATGCGGCGATCGAGCGAGTCGCCATGTTCTGTGCGATGATAAGACCACCAAAGCAAAGATAGATGGCCAGTAGAATCGCAAAAGGTTTCTGAGCGTAGCGGAATGCTAGCCCGATAACGTTGAGAAACCATGCAAGTGTGTTGTATATCGCCGCTGGGACGCTTTGAGCGATTTGGTTTCCAACTGTTGGCGGTGGCTGTTGGCGATATTGGCGGCGATGATATTCATCCTCATTCTCATATCTTGCGCGCGCATTTCTCTGCTTGGGAGGACTCGACGGTGGTGGATTTCCTCTTCTCCTCGCACCTTCGTTACCGCCATATCCTATGCCCAGTCCTCTTATCGTGCGCTCACTCCTACTGCTTGCCTCACTCGCAGTATCGATGCGCGGCATGTGAAATTCTGGATCAGGTGATCGAAAGACTCGCTCTCCGTTTGCGCTTACACTTGCGCGCGAAAGACTCGGCCTGAACGGCTCTCGTAGAATGACCTGCTCGTCGTCTGGATCAGCCCCGAAGTCGCGAATGCTGTCCTGTGATGCGAAGCTGAGATTTCCTTGAGAAAACGGTTGTGATGGTATGTTGCCTGAGGATGTCGGTGGTGATGATTCCCCGAGCGATGGGAGAATACTTGTGTCGAAGCTGTCGTTCTCCCCTTCAACAAAGCGCCACGAGTCCTCGGGTCGAAGCTCACGCTGGCGCGAAGATCCCATATTGTTCACCTTGGGCGCTCGAGTACGGCAGAGTCGCACACGAGCAGGCGTTACGGTCGCGTCACCTCAGTCCAATAAGTATATACAATCGACCTCGGGTCGCATCAGATAGGCAATATGTTGTATGGTGAAAGTGTTGTATTTATAGTGTAGAATATGAGATAACAATATACGCCAAGTTATATCGTGAAGCGCTGACTGGCGCCCTTAGCGTAGGCAGGCGTAGGGTTCTAGGAGCGGTGAGTCATCGGCAGTTGTGATAATGGTTCACAGTGATTATCGATGAGAGTGCGCTTAATGTTTTAGGTCGTGAATGGGCGTCAAAATGAGATTGATGTTGTTAGGTTGTTGTCTTTATGAATGATGTAAGAGCAAGGTGAGGTACCTAGGCGAGGCGAGGTGGCAAATGGAGCTACCGAGTGAGCGAGTACATACCTACCTAAGTAAGGTCACTAGGTTAGTACCCACCATATCATAGTAGGTATGCCAAGGTACCTGTGTGAAGGACAAAGATACTGGGGATGGAAGGAACTGAAGTTTAGGTACCCAATCTTCATCACTGTAGGCATAACTTATTTTCTCAGTTCAATTAACTCTGTATTGTAGAATATGTCCAATATGAATTATGGTCCAAAATTTGTTATGGCCTTCACTGATCAATCGATAGCTAAAGACTAGTTTCTATCCTGTTGGTACCTTTAGTTATTCTGTCACTTATAGATAATTAGTAGACCCTTGTCGCGCTGCCTAGCGCCGGTCAATAGTGGAGACATATAGAGAGGCTGACCGAGACCTCGTGGTCAATTAATTTTACTTTCAAGTCTAGGGTATTAATAACAGTCACCATCTTAATTAAACGTCAGTAAACAAACAACCAACACCGACTTCTTTCTAGCTGTCAACTTACCAAGGGACTCCTATATATTACTAAATGTAGCTCAGGGGTCAAATTTTTAGTTTTCAGAAGCTATGATATTGCCAATCGAGTTCATATACAAACGAGGTGTTCGAGCCCCGTGAACATCCTTCTGTCTCAGAGATGTCGAACATGTAACGAAGGCTTGAACAAGCAAACAATGAATTGTACACAAACCCGACATTATTCCATCACAAATTTGAATGAGACTCGGAAATCTAGGTTAAATTCATTACCATTTCCTCCTTGAGTAAGTCGGCAAATTAGTATCTAGCAATGTGTATACAACCAAGGACACATTGTAGTCACTTCTCTATCTTCACAGGAACTGAGCCTCCCGCCGGCTTGTCACCTGAACACCCTGCTTCCATATAGAAATTCGAAACTGAACTTCTTGCGCCAGCTGTTATATCCGAGGCTGTCATATCTCCGTCAGGAGCTTGAGTTAGATTTCCTACCCAAGCTACGTCACTCGTCTCAGGTTCACATTGCAACGAGTATGATGGCAGCCCCGGCCAACCACCCATATGCTCTAGTGTGGGCGGCCTGAGCCAGAGAGACTCTCCCACAGTTGTAGAGGCAGGTCTATCACCAACTGCAGGCGTAGCTTGAGAGAGTTCCATATGCCCATGCTCATGGTTGCCTCTGCCTAATGCCCCCATGAAAACGTCAGATAACACCTTCGATCTGGGCCAGAATTCCCCAGACTTTTTCAGGAACTCTGCCAGAAACAAAACTTTAGATCTGTAATCTGGCTGCCCTGCACCACGGAGCACAGCATGACACAAAAGTGAGGATGCTTGTTCTAAATCAAGTAGGCATGAAGGGGAGAACTTCTCTGGCACAAGCTGGGAACCGAGAAGAGCCATCAGACGCAATGGTGCTTGGAGAACCAGTGGTGAAGGAGCGTCATGCCCTGTAGCAACACTGAACAGTGGCAACAAGCGCTAAGGCAAGTTTCAGTGAGCACCGAGTAAGACAGGCGCGTGAAAATAAAAGTCCCTTACTCTTTTACGAGCAGGTATGGGCCTGGGCAGAGGCAGAGGCACGAGGGAGGAACATGCACGGTACGGTAAAGTAGCCGATAAGGCCTAGGCACTGTAACACCTCGGCTCGGCTTCTGCTCGACAACCCCCGGCCCTGGCGTCATGGATGGGCCCGCACAATCCCCAGATGAGATCCAATGCGATGCGCCGAGACGAACTGAGCTGAGCTGAACTGCGTGCTTCCTTTTTGCTTTTATCACCTGCAACAAACGAAAGCTCGCTCTACCCAGCTGTAGTCGGACAAACCCACCACCCGATCGACCGATAGACTCCCAATCAAATACCCGAAACTCAACGAACGCCCTCATCCTCATGCGCATGCACTAGGTCAAATGACCGACTCGAGCTTCGTCCAAGCCCAACGCCGCGTCGCTGCGCGTCGCCAAACCCGTGAGGCCGAAGCTGCTGCTCGCATCGCTGCTCAGCGGCAGTCTTCTCGACCTAGAGCCAACCTCGAGCGCTTGCCTTACCCCCTAAATCGCATAGGATCTGCCTGGGATGCCGTGTCGACAAGGGAGGGCACGCGCCCTGCATTTCGAGTAGGACAAGTCGATGCCGAACTACTCGATGTAGAGCTCTTGGACATTCTCAAGGACCAGGTTTGCGAGGGTCTCAAATATTTTGGTGGTGGACACCTGCACGATGACTGGTCAGCTGAGATTATGTTGGCTCTGAGGGCGGTGCT